CCTGAGCCTAGCTGTGTTCAGTCTGAAAGGGGGTGGATCTGGCAGGAGTGGTGTGCAGCAGAGAACTGGATTTATTTGAAGAAGAACACGTCAGCTACTTCTCTAGAATTGTGCCTACTCTATTTCTCTCTAAATTGTGCCTAAGAGAGGGAGAACAAAATGCAGCGAACCCCCTAATAAACAGATTTTATTTTATGTGTGCTCCAAGATCTTGCAATCGTTGCTTGTTTTTCTGGCCAGAATTAAGGTATCTGGATTTTTCTACAAGGCCCCAGGTAGCTTCCTTGGATGTGTCCCCTTCTGGTTTTTTTTTTGTTTGTTTGTTTGTTTTTTTTGGTGGGGGGAATGGTACCTACCATAGCCAGGACACCCAGCAATATCAGAGAAATACAGACAGAAGGATATCTGGAAAGGCCTTTTCCCTGTAGTTATCCTTTAGGATGTATTTCAAGCTCACTTTTTAAAGTGGCCTGAGGAGGGGATACTTGATGTTGGATCTTTGCTTTGGGAGGATTTGAGAGCAGAAAAGAAGTGATACAGTTTGTCTCCAGCACACCATGATTATTTCCTGCAGTATGTCTGTAAACCAGCTCCTTGTTTTCTATGGATATTGCATCCACTGGTGCAATTGTATTTTCATTCATTCTCAGAGGCCTGTAGCAAGCGATATACTATCAAGGTAATAAAGATGATAGAAAAGAGCAGGATGAACAAATGGGCCAGCCTGCATGAGCTAACTGTATGATGGACAAATTTTGGCTCTAGCATGTGTTCCTTATCTGTTACATCTTGCTGATTGGTTAACAAAATGAATACGAAAAGTAGAAAGTCAGTAATTTGACAGCAGGTTTCTTTCTGCCTATGTTATGTACAATGACAGAGTGGGTGGGCACAGAACCAGACTTCCTGCAAATTTGGAGGCAAAGGCCAAAACGGCATTTTCCTTCTCATCAGGGACTGGGAACACCATGGCAGTACTTGATCTTACAGAAAAATTAAATGCAATTTTAATGTGTTTCCTGCCCTCCACCCCAAAACAAAGCAAAACAAACAAACAAACGAAACAACCCAGTAAAACCATTAGAATGGCTTTCTGAGCTCTCCCATGTATGTCCATGCACGTCTCTACCTCTCTCTGATATCTGGCATGACCAAGAGCAGTGAAGGCAAGATTTTGCTTCTGGAGTTTAGTGTATGAAACGATGAGTAAAATTCCCCCACTGAGTCATCATTTCTCCAGCATGTAATATCTGTATAACAAGTTGGCCAGAATTTCAACACTGCATATGGCTTCTTCACACATGAACACGTTTCTTATTGCATATTTGTTTGAAAGGGGGTATCAATTTCAGAAAACAAAGTACACCTCCAGTTTAAAAATGGCTGTGTGAGGTACAAAGAGCTCTGATTTTACTTTCTTCCATAAAAACCATTATGCAAAGTTCAATAGGAAAAACATGAAATATATAGAGCTTAACAACGCAAAGTTCAGTTATGTGTTAAACGGAGTGTGGACTTTGCTAAGGCAGCATTGTTCTCTATAGGTTAGTGGTGATAAATACAAATACTCATGCGATCCTTCAAATTTCAGGTGTACTGCTGCCATTATTGAGGTTTTGCACTAGGCAGTTTTTCGGTTGCAGAGCCTTGAAGCGCTATCCAATGAGCTATTTATTTATTTATTTATTTTTCAGATGGTCTTTCCTTTGGGGAGAGAGAAATCAAATTTGTACAAGAGAACATACTGGTTCAGGTGAATCACTCAGTCTTTAGCAGCAATGGTCAAGCCTCAAAGGTACCTTGGAGACTTGCCTTGGGTTAGCATCTGAAAGATAAGGCATCGGGATCATTTTAGCAAAACTGCTTTTGCATTTCTTATGTTTTAGAGTAGGGTCAATAAATGGTAGTGGATAGCAAGTGGAGAAATCTCGCTGCTCTTAAAAGAAGACTTTCCTGAAAAAACACAGGCATTTTTGCTATTTCTCTTTCCACATACTAGCTCAAAGTGAGGGGCCATATCAAAGAGGTGCATGGGCAGAGTGCCCATGGTGATGCCTGGTTCCATCATATCTAAAACTTCACTGTCAGATGACTTTGATTTTGGCCTTTGCTCTATGTACTATGAATATGGGTTAAAGAAACACACCGTCATTCCGATAAATAAACCTGCTTCTTACAACAATATCCCTCAACGTCTTGGTATAGATAAATGTGGTGATTCTGGCAGAACTCCGGAGACAGAGAACAGAGGACAGTCCTCAGCTCATACCTCGTTTCATTCCTGAGTGCTGTCGTCTTTCACAGTTAGTGCCTCCTTGTTGCACTGCTTAGTGTGGGGCATGGCTGGTTAGAAATCAGAGAGCCGCAACAGTTTCCCTGTTGTTGCAAACTACTGCAGATTTCAGTCTCTTTCTGCAGGTTTCCAGACTGACAAAAGGTTTTGGGAGAGTCCTGTAGTGATGGGAAAATGTAGAGTAGGAGTTTTGTAGCCCCTCCTTGACTACTTACACTAAATAGAACCTGAGAGGAGGTCTGCTCCCGAACTGCATTCCTAAACTGGGAGATCTGCAGGATACAACAATACCTCCCACTCCCTATCCTGGGCATCTTCCACAAATAATGAATCAAAATTCTCTGCCACCTTTGATTTGTGGCAGTGTCCTGCTCTCCTACAGGTGACAGGGACCTACCTTGGTCAGAGGTCCTCTGAAATGGTGCAAGGAGCAGCAGCAGGACGTGGTAACCTTTCCTACAGCCTCCTCCTCTACAACTGATGCCACATGGGAAGTTTTGGCCATGTATGCCTTGCAGGTGGTGCCTCAGGCAATAGCAAAATAATATGGCCAGCAGTGCAACTATGGAGCAGTTAGAGGATGTTGCATTAGGAGACAATGCAATTATCTGAACCTTGCTAACAGTTACGATCATATAGCAATTCAGGAGTACTAGGTGTATCCATACCTCTAGTTCTGATGATGTCTGTGACCAGAAAAACTGCTTTTGCTGCAATAGTTTATTCCAGGCTGTTCTCTTCCCTGAGTAACCGCAATCAGAATCAGTTTGTTGGTGTAATGGCATCTGTAACAGCTGATTTTGTCAGGATAACCCCTTCAGAGCACACACAGATAGCAGGCCAACCAACAAGCAAACAACCAAGAGAACCCTCCAAAGCAAACAAAAATTTCTTCTTGCATCTGGACCATTTTTATTTTTGGTAAATTGAGATTTACACCCCACTTTAATATATAAATCCCCAGTTATTCTGAGAATACTTTCTTATTTAATCAGTTGTGTCGTTTGTGTTTCTTTCTTTCTTTCTTTCTTTTTTTTTTTTAATTAATGATCTTTTGTTGTTATTGTTTGGAATGGGGTTACATTGAGTGAAATTTATTCAGTATTTTAACAGGAACAAGGAGACCAGCATAAGAAGTGTGCAATAGATGAGCTGCATTTGGTGAGCAGGGAAAAGTCACATGAGGGCACACACTATTTATATTCTTCTCTTGCTTAAAGTTAGTGTTAACAGCATTGATTCAGTGTGTTGATGATAGCTTTATTCAGGACTTTAAAATGGCATATACATGTTACTGAGTCAAAAGCTGGCAGAACCAACATTTTCTGAAAGGGCACTTTTTTAGGACCATTCTGTGACCCTGCCCATGGTCTTTTAGTTTAAAAATGCAGGGCACCTTATATTAAGGCTACACCAGCACAAATCTGGGACCACTTTGAGCAGATCTCAACTATGAAGAAAGACCAATTAGATTAAGGGCCTGAAAACCACAAACTAGTGAAGGAAGTGATATTTGCAATGAAAAATGACACTCGATTCTCTGCTTTGGTCTTGAGCTAACAATCCCTTCAATGTCGTGAAGCGGCAGGAGGACCCCATGCTGCTCGCACTCTCTTCCACATCAGATGCAAAAGTGAAATTTGGATGATATTTTACCCTGGGGATGGATTAATGTTGTGTTCTGCCAGATATTTCAGATTGAGTAATTCTCTTCTTCTTTCTCCTTCCTCCACAGTTTCCTCCTGCTGTAAGGTGCAGAGTGCCAGCCGGTTAATCACACTCCACCCCATGGTTGGCTTTGCCTAGTAGCGCCTGAAACAGTCTTCGTGTAACCGTATCTGAAACTTTTTGGCAAAATTTCCAGTGATCACATCTTATTCCACAGTAAGAAAGTCAAGAATGCTAATAGAGAGAGGCTGCTAGCATTTTCAGCACTGCATTGTTAGTTCTGGCTTGGTTTAGACAATGTGCTAGGTGATGCTGTAAACCAGTAGCTGGTTTATATCAGTATTGCTCTTGCTGAGAAAGATACATCACCCACGGAAAGAATAAAAAACCCTACATACACACACAAAAAAACATTCTCAATTCTCTGAGCACACCTTCTCCTTTAGGATAAAAGTTGAACGTAAGGCATCATTATAACGTTAAAGAACATTTGATGCCCACATAGAAAACTCAACACATTTGAAACACTTTTCTTTTTTCAGCATGTGTCACATATTTACTCCCTTTTCCTCCCTTTATCCTTTATTACTAAGGAAATGAGGACATTTGCATGAAAACAAAGGCTTAGGTTCTTAAAAGTTTGTCTATTCCTGCCTGTATTTTCCTCCTCTGAAGGGATCGGAGCCTTCTGTAGAGAGTACTGTAATTGCTTCCAACCCAAAGAGCTGTGATGAATAAGAAGCAGTAACTTTTAAACAAAGACCCTGTTTTCATGCAAATATTCCTAGTAATAAAGCATAGAGTAAAAGGTATATGTGAAGTTATGTTTTGCAGAACTGCTATTTAAAGCAAAGTAGCTTTGTAGAATGAAGTCGAGTATGAATTTTTCTAACTGCAGTAAGGGAAAGGGAGTTTGTGTATTTTCCATAAGAGATTCCAAGTGTCTCCAAATGAGACTGTTGAAAGGCAAATACAGGATATATCTCAATATTATTCTCATCAGCATCATCAGCATCACTCTGTGTGAAAAAATCCTTACCGGAATTATGGCACACGTCTCCTGGTTTCTATACAAGCCCAGGAACATACAGTCTTCTTCCCCCAAAGACTTAGCAATCCAGTTTGTTCTTCTAATCCATCTCTGAGTCATTGTCTTGGTCTACCTACTCTTTATCTTCCAAACTCAGGAATAACTGAACAAAACCTATTGAAAAAATAGAGACATATAACGAATTTGGAGACAATACAGAATGGTAGTATTTACATTCACATTTACATTACATTTACATAGATCATACATAAACCCACATACATACATCTACATTCAACAATAAGGCTTTAATAGTTTAGGCTTGGCTTCACCATAGGGGCCCCTGATAGATAGATCAAACACCCGGAGGCATTCATTTGCTTGTGGTTTTCGTACATTTATACTAGTCAGAATCCACCCGTCTAATTTCTGATCTTCTCAGCAGCCAATGTCATGGATCACCTACATTTATTACAAACGCCAGAGATGCCAGCAGGTGGAATGGTGGCTATTCCTCCTCGTGGACACTACCAGCAGCGGGGTCCTGCCTCTCCCAATATACCATGGTGCTGGATTGCCTAACTGTAGGGGATGCTGCCAGGCACCTGAGAGCAAAGCAAGACAGCAGAGGCAAACCCAGGCGGTGCGTGAACAATGACTTCTGCCTCCACAGAAACTAGGGCTGCCAGAGCTCATTGTTACTGTGATCACCGGGCTGTAAGAGACGCAACAATAGACCTCCACAGAAATTCCCTCCAGAGGAGAGGAAAGGCACTAGAAGACATGCAGTTAAAGGTAAATCATCTGGAGTTACAGTTTCTTTATTCCTAAGCGTATCGTCTCTTGGCTCTAAGAGGAAGATGTGCAGCCTGCACAGAAAGCAGGCTTTTCACTGGAGCTCATGCACATGGCAAGCTAGAAGTGTTAAAATATTTTTTCTATGTCCATGAATTAGAAAGAAAAAACACAGAAGAAATAAAATTCTTTCCCTCAAAGGCTACACTTAACCATCCAGTAACTCCACATCAAGCACAAACTGCTGGAATATTATGGTGAATAGTTTCAAAACACTCTTCCTTGGCAGAACACGAATGATACTTTTCAACCGAAAGCCTTCTCTTCTCTCCCTCTCTCTTTCTCTCTCTCTCTCGCGTTTTTTGTTTTTTTTTTTTTTTTTTTTTTTTTAGCAAGTTTTAAAAATTTGAAAATATCTTCTCAGCCTTTTCTATGGAATCAGAGCTACGTCACTGCAATGCTATAATTTCATCTTGAAACACTGGTGGTAACTTTAATGAGAGACATCAGGCCTCATTCTGCCTAAGTCTTCACTTTCTATTGCCAGTGGACTTGTTAGAGCTGATAATTCCAAAAATACAATATTTATAACTTATTCATGATTTATTTTAAACCTCTTTCACAGTCTGATGCATACGAGGCAATTTAAATCACCAAAACTCTGTTTTGCAACTAACACTTCATTACAATGAATGGAAAAGTTCACACATCTGTTGGTGTTGTATTGTTTCAGGCTGGCGGCAGAGCAAACAATACAGCAGTGCACTGATTTGCTGTGCTAAGGCTGTCTCCAAACCAGAGGACAGAAGCTTTCCTTTTCTGGAAAAGGGAAGAGAGTTCTGCAGAACATGGCAAAAGAGCCTCAGTCTGTGGCTTCGAAGGACCGACACGGCCCCATTCCCCAAGGATGCTCAGGGGATTCCCTGAAGTTCAGCTGATTGATAATGGGGTGTCGCTAGAAGTCTTGACAGAAGGAGAATCTATGTCAGCTCCTTTCATTCATTCATTGCCAGCAGAGTCCCATCTGTACTATTAAACCCTGTCAGAGTTTTGATAAAGAAAAAGAAAGGTGAACCTAACCCCATGTAATTTTTTCTTGTTTAAGGTTCTATTTCCAATTTCAGATTCTTGGATGATTTAAAAATTAGAGATAAAAGATTCTCTATTATAAATTCACCAAATATATTCTGCTGAAATTACTGTATATTTAGGGTCCTACATAATGCCTATAGGTTCATAGAGTCACAGAATGGTTTGGGTTGGACTGGGACTTTGAAGGTCCCCAAATTCCAACCCCCTGCCATGGGCAGGGACACCTCCCACCAGCCCAGGTTGCCCAAAGCCCCATCCAGCCTGGTCTTGAACACCTCCAGGGATGGGGCATCCACAGCTTCTCTGGGCAGCCTGTGCCAGTGCCTCACTGCCCTCTGAGTGAGGAATTTCTTCCTCATATGTAATCTAAATCTCCCCTCTTTTTGTTTACAGCCACCCCCCTGTGTCCTATCACTATCTGCCCATCTAAAGAGTTGTTTTCCATCTTTTTTATAAGCTGCCTTTTAGTACTGGAAGGCTGCTATAAGGTCTCCCCAGAGCCTTCTCTTCTCCAGGCTGAACACCCCCAGCTCTCTCAGCCTTTTTCCATAGGAGAGGTGCTCCAGCCCTCTGAGCATTTTTCAGGCCCTCCTCTGGACCCAGTCTAATAGCCCCACATTCTCCTTGTGCTGGAGGCCCCAGACCTGGACGCAGCACTCCAGGTGGGGCCTCACAAGGGCAGAGCAGAGGGGCACAATCACCTCCCTCCCCTGCTGGCCTCTCCTCTGTTGGTGCAGCCCAGGACGCAGTTGGCCTTCTGCATAAGGTTATGGATGCTATGTAAATATTTTCTACAAAGTACGTTTGGACGAGAGCGAAGTCATATACCACACACTTGACTTCATTCAGATCACCATTTTTTTATGATAGGCATCATTTTTGAGTCCTGTGCCGGTGCATTGTTGGGGACAGTGGAGTTCCAGGATGCTCCTGGGACTTCTGCCCAATTAATTGATGGAACCACTCATAAAACATCCGCACCTTTCACCGTGAATCAAACCCCCAAACTGTAAAACAAAGAAACAAACCCAGCTGAGTATTATGCTAGTTTTGACTCTCCATCCCCACTCCACTCCACACTTGCTTTTCATCTGCTTTTATGTGTTCCCACTCCTATCATTTACCAGTTTCAAAAAAAATAACGAGGGTTCCTGGTTTTATTAAGGCATGGTCCCAACTCGACTGAATTTAGGAATTTGTGTCTGCTGGGAAGGGGATGAGGCTCTTTATGTGATCCAGAGCAGCGCTCCTGGGCATGGAATTATTTTCTGATGTGCCAGAGCGCTCCTGCCTGTTTCCAGCAGCCCATGCGTGCTATAACCCTGTGTATCACCGCTCAGGGTGTGTGGCTCCCTCCTTCCCCCCTCGGTTTGTGACTGGCTTTGGATTCCGGCTCTGCCGGCATGGAAGTTGCCGGGAGCCCCCCGGCTGGCTGGGATGAGCACCATTACACGCCAGCCCCTTTCAGCAGAGCAGCCTTCTCCATGCCCCGACCCCTTCCCAAATATAACAGCACCCTGAAGTAACCCCCCCCACACACACCCCACAGAACCTCCTGGGCGGGGGGCCGGGGGTGGGCTCCCCCCACCCCTCCCTGCACAGCGCATCCTTTGTGAGCGCCCCCGGCTCCTCCAGCGCCGGATCGGGGCCGCCGCGCTCATTTCCCGGCCACACAAAGCCTCGGCGCCCCCCCGGGGCCGGTCCCGGGGGCTTGGTGGTGGTGGAGGTGTGTGTGGGGGGGGGGCACCGCCGTGCACCTGCACGGGAACCACCGGGGCGAGAGGGGGGCGCTGCGGGCGGGGACCGGGGGTGGGGACCCAAGGGGGGGGGACCCGGGGACGCCCCCGCGGGGATGCCCGGACGCCAAGAGCGCGGTGCCTCCTCCTCCTCCTCCTCCTCCTCCTCCTCCTCCTCCTCCTCGTCCCCCACGCCCCGCGGCGGTGCGGAGGGGGGGTTACGGGGAGGGAGGGAGGGGGGGGGGTCTCCCGCCGGGGTCGCGGAAGCCTCGAGCCCCCCGCCGCGGCGCCGCGCGCGCTCCGTGCTCCAATAAGCGCTAATTAGCTCCCAGCCTAATGATGTGTCAGCTGAGCCGGGTGCGCGCGGGGAAAGGGGGTGGCGGTGCGGTGATGGGGTGGGGGGGGGAGACACGGCATCGCCATGGAAACGCTCCCCCCCTCTTCCACACCCCCCCTTTCCCCATCCCCCCCTGGCTGGGGGGGGGTCTCCCGTCTCCATCCCGGCCCGGGACAGCGCCGCCCGCCGCCCGCCGCCGCCGTCGCCACCGAAACTTTTGTCCCGGCGGCCAATCAGGGCGAGGGGGGGGGTCCGGGGGGGGGCGCGGGGGGGCGCGGAGCCCCGCGGGGCACGGCCCGGTGCGGCGCCGCCGCGGAGCGGGGAGGGGAGGGGAGGAAGCACCGGCCCGGCTGGGAGCAGCGCGGCTCGGAGCAGCCCGGCTCGGAGCAGCCCGGATTAGCCCGGCCCGGCTCGGCTCAGCCCTGCTCAGCCCGGCCCGGCTCGGTTGAGCCCGGCCCGGCCCGGCCCTGGATGCGGGAGGCTCGGGCGGGCGCGGCCGCGGAGAGGCGACGCGGAGAGGAAGCGCAGGGGATGTCCTGCCCGGCGTGAGCTGAAACTGTGGCAAAACGGGGAAAAAAAAAAAAAAAAAAAAAAAAATCAAGATTTTTTTTTTTTTTCTTCGTCCCCCTCCTTTATAAGAATAATAATAAAAAAGGGGGTCTGCTCTGCATCCGCACGCAAACTTACTTGGAAGCCTCGCAGCCGGCTGAGCACGGAGAGCAGAGGATCCCCCGCAGCCGAGGAGTCCTGCATGGGAGCACCATCACTGCCCTGGCACAGCACCCGAGAGCCGCCTCCTTGCCTTCAGCATCCTCCTGGGACTGAGCTCGCTCTCCTCCGGTCCGACACCCGAGCCTGTCTCCTAGATATCTGGCTGTTTGTTTTTTTCCTTTTTTTTTTTTTTTTTTTTTCCTCCTCCATCTGCTGGGATGGCAGAGTAAATAAATTGAGGAAAATTCCTAAAAAGGCATCGAAAATTCAATGGGACTGAACAGGAGGAAGTGAGATGCTCACAGACCGTTACAAAAAAAAAATTGCAAAAAAAAAATAATATTAAAAATAGAAATATATGCACTTAAAACGTGGATCGGATGTATTAGGCTTAGAAAATAGCAGGTAAGAACTTTCTTTCTTTCCAGCACCTTCATGCCCGGAGCAGGGAGATGTAAGGCGGTTTTGCCCAGCCCTGGAATAAAGGGGGAGCGAGGAGAGCAGCTTGCCCTTCAGTGCTGCCTCCATCCTGCGCGGCGGGGCTGCTTTAGGGAGAGGCACAGCCCGCCAGGACAGAGACAGAAAGCCTTCCAGAAGGCTGCCGGGCTGGAGGAGGAGGGTGGGATTTTTTTTTTTCTTCTTGCTATTTTTTTATATATATATATATCTATATTTTATTTTTTCCCCTTCACCTGCGCTATCCAGGGTGAATCCGGGCGCAGCTGATGCGTGGAGAAGAAGAAGGAGCCGAGTCAATATTTCCTTTTCTCCTCGCTGAGCCGAGGGATGGGATTTTAATTATTTATCCGCCCGAACCCTCTCCGGGCGAGGAGAGGCTGCCGGAGCCAGCGGGATAGTCCTGCCTCGCGCGATTATTGAAGGGACTGAGCACGTACCGGGGGAGGAAGGAGAAGAGGAGCCTCCACCAGCCAGCCCCGCTTCAGTCCAATAATAACAATTACAATAAAAAACAAAAAATCAAAAAACACAAAAAAAAAGAGGAGAACCTCGCCACTCCACCGAACCGAGCGCTGCCCCCCACCCCCCTCCCGGCCCCCCCGGCTCTCCCCCGCCCGGAGCAGCCCCACCACACACCCAAAAAAAAAAAAAAAAAAGCAAAAAAAAAGAAAAAGCAGCCGGGCTCTGCCTGCCTGCGCCGGGACCTCGGTGCCGTCCCTCCCCCGGCGGGGGCTGCGCGCTGCGGGGCGCACACAGGTGCCGAGCGCGGCCGGGCCCGGCCCGCGGGGGGCGCGCGTGTCCGCGGGGGTGCGCGGGGGCGCGCGCGGGCACCGGGAGACGATGGAGAGCGGCGAGCGGGACATGTACCGGCAGTTTCAGGACTGGTGCCTCAGGACTTACGGGGACTCGGGGAAAACCAAGACGGTGACCCGTAAAAAATACGAGCGGATCGTCCAGCTCCTGAACGGCTCCGAGTCGAGCTCGACGGATAACGCCAAATTCAAATTCTGGGTCAAATCTAAAGGCTTCCAGCTCGGCAACTCGGACGAGGTCAGTGGTGGTGCTGGAGGAGGGAAGCAAGTGCTGTACGTGCCAGTCAAAACCACGGTTAGTAGAGAATTGTCTTCCTTGTTCTATGTCGGCCGCTGCAGCCCGCTCCGGGAGCGAGAGGCAAAGGGGGAGCCGCAGCCACAGTTGGCTCCTTCCTCCCTCTTCCCCCAAGTCATCATCACCATGTTGCGTTTGCCTGTCACATTAGACACCGCCGAGCTCTTTGTGGTCCTTTTCTTTAAAGCGAGCGCGCACCAAACACACCCCGCCGGCTCGCCGCCGCCGGTGCCCGCTGCTGTCCCCGCTGCTGTCCCCGCCGGTGTCCCGGTGCCCCCGGTGGCCGTAGGGCTCGGGGCTGCGGGCCCGGCCCCGGCTTTTGTCCCGCCGCCGGCCCCGGCCATTGTGCGGGGCAGGCAGCTGGCACAAAGCCCCTCTGCCTGCTCCTCCGGGGGGGGGTTTCCCCGGGAGAGCGGGGCTTTCGCCTTTTTTTTTTTTTTTTTTTTTTTTTTTCTTCTTCTCCCTTTATATATATATATATATATATATATAATTTATTTATTGTTAGACCGCAGCCCTCCAGACGCCGAGCAGGGGGGAACGCGCCTCGCTGGCTCCGGAGCGCGGCTCGGATGCTGGCGGCGGCGGGGAGAGGATGCTCAACAAAGGGAGATGGGCTCGCACATGACCGCACGCCCTATTTTGTTACTCTTCCTGGGATTGCGCGAGTCTCGCAGCCAGAAAGCCCAAACTCCACCGCTGCCATACGGTAGCGTGGCATCCCCCGGCAGGCTCCGGAGCTGCAGAGCCCGGCGCGGGTCTGACAGCGGCAGGGTTATTATGCTCGGCGGTGGCAGAGGCTACAGATTTTCCTATGTGAGAAGATGGGAACTGTTGGCTCCAAGTAGGTTTTGCCTATTGAACTCGTTATTCTTACTTCTTGTGCTCCGGGTCACGCAAGCTAAGCTTCTTTTGTCTGGGTCTGGGGCGGTTGGGGGGGTGTGGGGAGGTTGCAGCTGAGAAAGGAAACCCGGCAATTAAAAATATTCCGGCTTGGGCGCTGGGCTCGGGTGAGCACCGCTCTCTTTTTTATTTGCAGTGGCAGCTTATCCTGACCCGCCGGGGAGGCTGGTGGGTGGCGCAGAGAAGGGGGCTGCTCGGGAAAGCGTTCTGGGCCTGGCCGTGACGTAGGCTGCTGGGGAAATCTGCTGCTGCTTGCTTCGCCCAGGCCACCGAGCTGGGCATTCCCTGGGCCTGGTGAGATGGGGCCCCTTGCCACCATCACCTCCTGGCCATGGGTAGGCTGAGCTGGGGGATCCCTTTGGAGGAGGTTATGAATATGAAGACCGAGAGCGAAGGGGAAGCGCTGGAGGGAGCTTGTCCCAAATCTGTGGCTTTGATTCGCCAAGGCGTTCTAGGTGTGCCTATAGAGCCGGGTAATTCGGTGGGTGTCTGTCTGACAGTTAGGTGACTGATGGTTAATCTTGGACCCCAGCAGGTACCGTAGACCAAATTTATTTTTCCATGCAATTTGACAACAAACGGAAGTTACGTAAAAGTTGTCCAAAACAAAAAGTCTCCATTTAGGTTGGAATTTTTTAATATCTCCTCTGCTTCCTGGGATAATAATTGCAAGGAGCCAGCAGGCAAGACCTTTTATTCCTAAGACTGTTCTTTTCACTGCAAGTTCAAAACTGTAAGCAAATTCAGTGTTTTTATGAGTGAAATTATGCTGACTACCCTGCTAAATAAAAAGGCTATCGTTACTTTTATGAGGTAGAATTTAAAAATTAAGGGCTCTTCTGGGTCTCTGAGACACAAGACTCACTGATGATCAACCTATTTATTTTCTCCCACCTTTGCCTGGCCATGAGAGCTTGGAGTACCTCCTTGCATTCCTTTTTAAATGTTATTTTCAGGTCTTTTTTTTTTTTTTTTTTTTTTCCCCATTATTCCATTGGAGATTTCAGTGAGAGGTTGAGTGCCTTGCTGGTCCTACCTTTGCTCATTTGGAGGATCATACCCTCAACTGTGAATATTAGTGAATGTCCCTATAAATGCATATATGTATTTGTATAGAAATAATTGTCTTAGATATTTAAAGCAACCAAGCAGGAATCATCGTAAATACAAGGAAAGAAAGTTAGCATGAAATATTTGTAAGCATTTTCAGAATACAAGCACATTAGTTGAACAAGGACATAAAACTTGTTATGGGAATGGTCTTGTGTTCAGGAAAAAAATCCCTCTTTCCTTCTGCTGTCCAGCACAGATCCTTTGTCCAGCAGAAATGAGAAGAGGCTGTACTCAGCACTCTTACACCGCAGGTAGCTCTGAGAAACAAATGCCCTCCTGGAAACATGAAGCTGGTGTTGCTATCCAAAAAGGCAGAGGAGGTATTTCTGTTGATCTGTAGCGTGGCAATTACATGTGTGAGCTGCTGCTAGGGCAGGGGCAACGTGTGGGTGCTCTGAAATGCCCCATGGTACGGAGCAGGGGTGCAGTGGCAAAGCTCCTGTTGACTTAGTCAGGGGCAGGATTTCACCCAGCCTGAAATGGTGTTACTGGGGGAAACACTGGCTTTGCACAGGACAGCAACTGTTGGTAAGCCTTTAAAGCCCGTTCTCTCATTTCTTTGACTCCTACTAATTAGTTAAGAGTTTATTAATTTATGATCATTTAGAGACATCCCCACGTACCGGGTCTGTTATTTTTTTTCTTGCTGTTATCACGTACAGTTGAGCTTGTCTGGAGAGAGACGCAACTGGTAACAGGTCCCCAAACTGTGATTCCCTCCCTTGTCCTCTCCCTCTTCTGTGCATCACTTGATCTCACCATAGAGGTAAAAGTAATTTCAATTTAAAATTAATCACTGCTGGCAGCATGAGCGCTCCCTCTGCAATAACAGGATGGATGAAATTACAAGTTGGACTCTAAAGTCACAAGCTGGTCAAAAACAAGCAAATAATATTCAAATACTTTGGTAGGAATTATTCTCTCCTTGAAGCTTTAAGATTTGCTGCTCAGCTTTGCTGTCAGCCAGAGAGATTTGCTCCTGATGGTGCTGTAATCCACTGCTGCTGGTAATTAGACATCATTACTGCTGCGTTAAAGGGAAAGAGAGAAGGAGAGAGGACAGGCTGGGGCTAATTAACTACTTGATTCTAATGAAAGGAAGAGAGCCTGATAGCAACTGGGAGGTTGCACCGGAACAGGCTAGATGTACAACACAGACTTAATTGAAGCAAGGGTATCTTGCAGCCTCACACTAGCTGAGGCTTGGTCTACTTTCCTGTTCTGTGGACAGTAGCATGCTAGGTTTTGTTCTGCTTTTTCCTTGCCTGGTTGGTAAGTAAGTCAAAATCAAAGGCCTGCCTTAAATATGAAGTTTAAGCATGCCAGCAAGGAGAATGCATAGATGATTATGTGCTGGCTTAATCTATTTTTGGGTATGGTCTCCTCAAGAGCAACAGGAACAAATCAATTCCTGAATGTTCACATCCCTCTGTGGCCTAGGAGATGCACTGTTGGTCACCAAGCAACAACATCCCCTGCAAAACAGCCATTTTAGGTCCAGAGTGGGACAGCACACAGCACGCTATT